TACCGTCATAGAAATAACATCTTGACTAACTGTTTTTCCATTTTTAACGCTATTCTTCATACGTAATTCAACTTCTCTCCTAAGATCAGCTAATTCCGATTCTTTAGTTAAATCAAATTCTCTAGAACTATCTTTAAATTGTGCAATATGATATGGTCCTTCGCTTAAGGTAACTTTGACTGGTGCACGCGTCATCATTTCACCGCCACCCCTAAAATAATAAAACTACATAGATTGTTATTCATTGACATTTTTTACATTCAATATATTTTTTGAATAATACCTTGGAAATATTCTAGCTTGAGCGATCATTTCCAATACAGATGTTTTACCTGAACTTTGATCACCTACAACTACTACTCTAGGTAGATGATCAGCAGTCGAATAAGCACTATCATATTCACTTAATTCATCCAAAACATCACTATACATGTCTATTAGAGATTTCTGAAAATATCATTATGATTTTAATTATAATTCAATACAAGAAAATTTGTATATTTCTCTCTCTCTCTTTCTTACCTTTATTTTTCTATTATTAACTTTTTGATTTCCTTTCAATAGCATTTGTTTACGTAATTCTTTATTCTCTCTTTCTAATCTTTCAAGTTCACGTTGATATTTCAATTGCATTTGCATTAATTCATCTTGCATAGCATCTAATCTCTGTTGCGACGATTCTTCAAAATATAATAATAATACGTTTAATTATAAAAATATAATTATTGTAAAATAATTCAATATAAATATAATTTACGTACGAGCTTTCTTGCGTTCTTCTTCAATATTCTCATTGGATAATGGGCGAGCAAAAGCAACTGCAGTTTTTGATAATTCGCCTTTTGCTTCTGAAAACAGAATTTAATAATAAAATGTCAGTAAAGTGTTGTATTTTTTAAATAATTAATGAAATCTAGCAGAATATGAGAAGCTGATATGGATACATGGACATATACAATGATAAAAATTAAATATAAATATATTACATTTTATATATATATATATATATATATATATATATATATATATATAAAATATTAATATATATAAAATAATTTTATGTATAACTGTGGAATGAAAGGTCTGCCCCATTCAGTATTTAGACCTAATTATTATCTAATATTTTACAAGATACAGTGCTTTGTTAAAAAAAAAAAGAAAAAAAAAAAAAATCTTTTTGCTTCATTTGCTTGAAATGCTGAATGGACAGACTGCAAGTTACCGATAAATTAGCACTTCTTACACACCTGAATAAACTTGGTTTGCTATCGATGTGATTGCGTCAATTACACCTGAACAGAACAGACCATGATCATTTACTTAGGTGCAAAATGAAAATATAATAAAACAATATATGGTTTCATACAAAATTGAAAGTTTATTTTACGTTTATTGAAATTATTATGATTAAATTGATAAAATTTAATAAATAATTATATAGATAAAAAAACATTATTTATATTAATAGGATACATATCTATCTATAACAATTGTTTACTTTTGTATAATACCATTTAATTATGATTTTAAAATCAAATAATAATATTTATATATATATATAATTTGATGCATAAAATAATTAAAGCTCAGGTTACTACACAAATGCAGGAATCATTTATAGGAATATATTTATAAAAATCCACTTTTCATTGAATAATATTCTTTTTTGAAATATTAATTTGAACTATATTCTATTTGCATTTAAATAATACATTAAAACTTTTTTATATTATACTATATTAATTTGAAAATAACAAATTATAAACTATGTGAAAAGATTTAAAAAATGATAGTAAAGTTATGCAGTTTAAAGCAAAAATGAGTCACTACCATAAATATTAGTGCATTAAACATACATGAGAAAACGTCAGGCAAGTTAAGAAGTGGTAAAAACACACATTAGGTGTCATGTTATATTTGGATGGGTAAAAAAGGATTGCATTCTTTAAAAATCCTTCCGACTCACGTGTAGGTGATTCTTGGTCGTTATCACGCAATGCTCTTTCTTCTGCTGCTTTAACAGCATTCTCCAATCTTTGATTAAACCATCTCCTGTATTCATGATACTTTGCCTCTCCCAATTCCTTTATACGTGGATCTGTTTGTATTTTCTCATTTTTTTTACTATACACAATTTCAAATGTTTTGCCTCACGTTTCCATAATTATTAATAATTATCCTTCATACTTACCTATATCAATCTTATTAGTTAATTTAGTTTTTACATCCAGCAATGAACCACGTAACTTTTGCCATTGTTGTTCAGTAGGAATTAAAGTATCTATCCAAGTCATATCAGGTAAAGCTTCTTTCCATTGTTCATATTTCTATGAAAATAAATGCAAATATATAAGAATTTCTCAAAATAAATTATAAATTCATTGTAGTTATTTTTTAAATATTATAAATCATTGTAGTTACTTTTTGTAATGTAACTCCACCACCCAAGGCACCACCTAATAATATATAACGTATTTTCAATGCTCCTCTTAATATTCTAGCAATTACCATGGCATAGCCACGATTAGGATTTGCAAAGTAACGTAAATGTGGGGATGCCAATAATGGCCTGCATACTCTGCTTATTTTTCCCGACATTAAACATCTTGTAGTGATCTTTGATATTGGATATTTCGAGGATTTTGATACAAGTAAGA